GGGGCAGATGCTGGAGGTCAGGATGATGTAGAGGGCTATTATTAAGAAAAACTAAAGTCCTGGAAATATGGATTTCTTTGAAATTCTTGTGAAGATATCTCTGATGGCTCAGGAGACTAGTACCACCTGAAGCACTGGTGAGCTTGAATTTTTTTTTTGTGGCAGTAGAAGGGATTTGTGATAAGTTATGTACTTTAACCTCTACCCCTTCAAGCAGTTAGTTATTCTTAGAGAAGAAGCTGTACCTTTTATATAATTTTGACATTGCAGCTGAGGATTCCCATGTGTGCAAAGCTTTAGTGGATCTGAGAACAGAGTTCTTGAAGAGAGACAGCAAAAACAGAAAAGGAATGAGTAGTGGAGAATATTTCAGAGAGTATATGAAATTAGTTGAAAAGCAGATTCTGTAATTCTGTGAAATACAAAACAGAAACTTGGGCCTTCAGGCCTATACTCTTGGATTACTTGAAAGTGCCAGAATTTGAGAAGGCAATATGTGGAAGACACATTAGGTTTTCAGAACGTTCATCCCCACCAGGTGTGCCGCCTTAAAGATTTATCCACCTTTCCTGTGGAAAAATATAAACCCTGTCTGTAACCATAATTTCTAACATATAACAGTAGTTTAGGGGCCATACAGCAACTGTAAAAGAATTGATCAATGGAAGAGTTGTTACTTATATGAGACCTTTCCCAGCTTTGGTCTTCAAGACTGGAGAAAATATTATGTTCTGTAGGAGAAAATATATCAATTTTGTATTGCCTACCACAGTATGCATTCTTAAATAGGTTTCCATTGCTGCTGCATGGTCTGCATCTTGTTTTGAACAGTCAGTTTATTTAGCATCTTTTATTGTTAACACTTGGATGATCTCTTGTGTTATGGTGCAGCTATGTTAAACATAGGAATGGACAGTCTGTTGAAATAATTTGGCTGGTGCTAGATGTATGTAGGTATCATAAATTATTATACCCCTGCTAAATTGTAGAAAGCTCTGTAAAGTTTTTTATTACTATCCAAAGTTTTCTGTTCTCTTATGCAAGGTGAAGAGACTGTTACTATTTTTGCTGAGATGCTCGAGTGGCAACCACACTAGTGACATCATAATAGCAACCACAGAAGTTTACAGTAGCACCTTACTTGACTCCAGCTTGTTATGAGTCATGACAGGCACCTGTACATGTGACAGACCTCTGCTTTGACAAATGCTAATAAGAACATTTTGGAGCAGACTTTATTAATAGAGTGTGCTGCAAGTCTGCTGGAGCATGCTAATTAGCGTGCTCCACCAGCCTCTGCTTCGCATGTATTCAGTGTTCCCATGTTTCAAAATGGCGATGGGGGTGCTTTAACTAAAGCTAAATACACGTGACAATGTAGGTACTTTAAATTAATTAAATTGTAATTAATTAAAGTGCCCTCCCTCCACCGCAGAGCATGTGTATAGATGCCCAAAGTGTCTCCAATTTAATCATCTCTTTTCTCTGATTTAAATGCAAAGATAAAAGACAGATCATGCACCTTGATATCATGGGCTTTTTATTAGTAGTTTCATAGTTTCTGAGCCAGTGAAAAACCAATGCAAAGGAAACTTAGGTTGGTGTCTAGGAAGAACTTTCTGATTATGAAGGTGGTTAAGCATTGGAACAGGCTACCTAGAAAAGCTGTGGAATTTCTGTCATCCCTAGAAATTTTCAGAAGCAGGTTGGGCAGATACTTGGCTGGGATAGTTTAACCAGGGATGATCATGCCTTGAGCAGGGGGCTGGATTAGAAGAGCTTCTAACCTTACTTTCCTGTCATCCTATATCACAGTATTATTCTGCCTCACAAAAACTGAAGGGTATCCATATTACTCAATAGAAATACACATTTTGATGTCTTAATTATCTCCATTCAAATTGTATGTTGTGGGAAGGGAGCACGTGGCAACAATAATTAACACATCAAATTGTTATTATGGGGACTTTCCCTTCCAAATAGCTTTCTAAAAGGTTTAATGGAGATAAAATGCAGTTGCAGATACAGTTCCCTTCTTTCTGTTTCCAACAGTTTCTTAAAATGTGTTCCAACTGTGACATCAAATCATTCTGCAATTTTGCTTAAGATATTCAGAAGCCTGATTGTATGGTATGCAGAATAAGACTTGAATGGGGTGCATTTTACCCAGGCTGTATGTATTAGAGCCCCTGCAGAGCTGCTGTCCCCTTAGCATTTTTTTTACTACTACTTCATTATACAGTTACTTTGGGAAATTATGTTTTACTTGTTTTCACTGTGTTCATTTCCACTGGGTTTAGTCTCCATGTGAAGAACAGATTATGCAAGATCAAGAAGGCCTATCTGCTATACCAAGGCATTCCCCCATGCAGTGGTTTTATTGTTAGTTATAAACCTCCTTCACCTTTGTGCCATTATTTTAAGTAAGGACCGGCTGTTTAGCCATATGGAACAGTTTGTCGTATACACCTGTAAAGAGATTAAACATTTGCTGGGGAAATAAGGGTTTTCTTGCATATTTTTGGTCTTTGAATGCACAATGTTATGCTAAAATGACAAACTTTCATACTATATACATCATCCTACTGGCTACATTCCTCAATCATTCATTCCCTTTTTAGATATCTCTTGTACATGTAATGCATATATAGTTTTGATATCATCTTCAATGCTAAGCAGTGGGGACACCTATCAGAAAAACCCACACACACTTTCTTTTAGTTGGCTTTGTTTAATTGATGGTAAACTCATCATGGACTGCTTTTAGGATAATATGCGCAGGGCTGGCCCATCCTGTGCTGTGAAACCTGTGGCTTCAGGGTGCCCCTCAACTAAGGGGACCTCTTGCATCCAGCCACTCTTCATCCCGCCCTGCTGCTGGCTTCACATTTGGCAGCTTGCTGCCACCCCTGCCACCAGCTTCTTCAGTCGCTTGCCACACTCCCCTCTCCTCCCGTGCCCCCCCCCCCCTGCTGTCACCAGCTTCTTCAGGGCAGGGGGCCCCAAAACTATTTCTTGCAGGGGACCCCAAAAATTGTGGGCTGGCTCTGAATATGCACCTTGCTTAGGGTGCCAGCAAAAGTCCTCTGCACCACTTAAACAACAGGCTTAGAAAACATTTAGGCTGGGCACAGACATTCAGAGAGGTTAGGGGGAGGTTAGATCAAGTTAAAAATGGCCACTTGGTCTAAGGTGAGTCAGGATGGCAGGCTAGTGGGGGTGGGTTGATTAGAGGGCAGGTGGGGTCTTGTGGGGTGGATTGGGGGTATAGTGGGGGCAGGTTGGGTCCACAGGGGGATTGGGGGAGATGGCTTCTGTGGCAGGG